CAAGGACCGATAATGTGACACCATCTGGAAGAGAATGTGCAGCATTTAGAGTTCATATTTAATAATATTTATATTACCTTCTCCATTTCAATGTATAAATTTTGGTCTTTATTCTGACCAATATGGTTTATCAAATATTTTTTTCCTCTTACACGCCTTGGTTTAGGTCTCTCACTCTGTAGCCAGAGATTGGGCATTCCCTTCCCTTCTAGCTCTGCTGTTCTAAGATTCTATTAACTCAGTACCTCTTTCCCTGGCCATCTCTGCTTCCTATCCTGTTTTCAGAAATGCTTCATAATTCTCTACCCATAAGAGCATCCTATAAATTCTACATCCCTTCCCTTTCATGAACCTGTCCATTCTCTTCTTCCGCTGAAGGAGAATGTCTGCAGACTTTGTCAATTCCCTGAATTGCCCGCTCATCCACATTAACTGTTCCTTTTCCAACACTGTCCTTCCCCTCCCCTTGGTGTTCATTTTTTGCTAACCAATCCTTTAATTCAAATATATGTTTTCTCTTTAATAAACATTGAGAAAACCCTTTGTAATTTCCAGGAAAATTCACAACATTTATTGGGGAGGATAAAAAACAGAGAATTAAAAAATTGATCTTCGTCACATTTTTCATTTTAGTCAAAACAATTCGACCGAAGTGTGATGGCTGATCTTCCTATAATCATATAAGTTTTTTTTCATTGAGAAATTCCCTTTCTAATTTTCTGGAAAATTCACAACATTTATTGGGGAGGATTAAAAAAAGAGAATTCATCGTCGGTACAGTTTTCATTTTAGATGAGACAATTCGAGCAAAGTGAGATGGCCAATCTTCCTATAATGATTTAAGTTATTTCTCATTTCTAATTTCAACTTTTCAAAATTTTGCTTTTTAAAATTTTTTAATTTTAGTTACATTTATTCCTCCTTATCCTAGTCTATACAGTAATAGTATTTTTCCACCTTATTGTGATAAAACAATGCCATCTCAAATTTATTCAAGTTTATTTTGTCCTTTTCCCACTGATTATAACTGCTGCTGATTATGGTAATCTCTCCTTAAAATGCATCTAGAACAGTGTTTCCCAACCTTTTTTGAGTCGTGAACCCCTCGTATAATTGCTACGGAACCTACAATTTTCATTAAAAGGCATTTTAATGGGATAACGACATCACATCAAAATAAACTTTTCAGAATACAATTCTAATGAAGGGAGGGCTGGAAATCTGCCTCTACCAAATGAAAATTGAGTAGGAAATAAAGTTAAAATACTTTCAGTTTGAGGTACTTTTTTGGGTGTGGAAATGTTCCTTCCTTCATGACTCCTTCCCCAAAACAGTTCCTCAGTGAAGTGCCCCTCCCACCTCAAAGCCAAAGGAAAAACCTCAGGTCCAGCATCACGTCCACCCTGTTTCTCCTCCCTCACATTTTGCCTGCATTTCCTTCCTCCTCCGTGACTCAGTCAGAGCCAGAATGTGTTTCTCCTTATCCCAGCAGCTTTCTGAAGTGGTTGTTTCTCTTCTTTTTCATATCTACCAGATGATGAACAGGGGAAGAAGAATCACCCAGGAAGACCTAGGATATCTGCTGCAGGAAGACATAAAAAAGGGGGAAAACAGAGAATTGAAAATCCAACTGGGCAGGAATGGATATCACATGAAAGAACTCACACAGGGGAGAAAGAAAATAAATGCATGTCACCTCAGTAGACATCAAATAACTCGTACAGAGAAGAAACTGTATCCATGTATGGAATGTGGAAAGAGCTTCAGTCAGAGCAGTCACCTGAGTTCACATCAAAGAACCCACACTGGGGAGAAACCATATAAATGCATGGAATGTGGAAAGAGTTTCATTCATAGCAGTGCCCTGAGTTCACATAAAAGAAGTCACACTGGGGATAAACCATATAAATGCATGGAATGTGGAAAGAGCTTCAGTCAGAGCAGTGATATGAGTTCACATCAAAGAACTCACACTGGGGAGAAACCATATAAATGCATAGAATGTGGAAAGAGCTTCATTCAGAGCAGTGAACTAAGTTCACATCAAAGAACTCACACTGGAGAGAAACCATATAAATGCATAGAATGTGGAAAGAGCTTCAGTCAGAGCAGTGAACTAAGTTCACATCAAAGAACTCACACTGGAGAGAAACCATATAAATGCATAGAATGTGGAAAGAGCTTCAGTCAGAGCAGTGAACTAAGTTCACATCAAAGAACTCACACTGGAGAGAAACCATATAAATGCATAGAATGTGGAAAGAGCTTCAGTCAGAGCAGTGAACTAAGTTCACATCAAAGAACTCACACTGGAGAGAAACCATATAAATGCATAGAATGTGGAAAGAGCTTCAGTCAGAGCAGTGAACTAAGTTCACATCAAAGAACTCACACTGGAGAGAAACCATATAAATGCATAGAATGTGGAAAGAGCTTCAGTCAGAGCAGTGAACTAAGTTCACATCAAAGAACTCACACTGGAGAGAAACCATATAAATGCATAGAATGTGGAAAGAGCTTCAGTCAGAGCAGTGAACTAAGTTCACATCAAAGAACTCACACTGGGGAGAAACCATATAAATGCATGGAATGTGGAAAGAACTTCAGTCTCAGCATTTCCCTGAGTTCACATCAAAGAACTCACACTGGAGAGAAACCATATAAATGCATGGAGTGTGGGAAGAGCTTCACTGACAGCAGTCACCTGAGTTCACATCAAAGAACTCACACTGGGGAGAAACCATATAAATGCATGGTATGTGGGAAGAGCTTCAGTCAGAGCAGTCACCTGAGTTCACATAAAAGAACTCACACTGGGGAGAAACCATATAAATGCATAGAATGTGGAAAGAACTTCATTCGGAGCAGTGACCTGAGTTCACATCAAAGATCTCACACTGGGGAGAAACCATATAAATGCATGGAATGTGGGAAGAGCTTCAGTCAGAGCCGTCACCTGAGTTCACATCGAAGAACTCATAGTGGGGAGAAACCATATAAATGCATAGAATGTGGGAAGAGCTTCAGTCACAGCAGTCACCTGAGTTCACATCACAGAATTCATAGTGGGGAGAAACCATATAAATGCATAGAATGTGGGAAGAGCTTCAGTCACAGCAGTCACCTGAGTTCACATCACAGAATTCATAGTGGGGAGAAACCATATAAATGCATAGAATGTGGGAAGAGCTTCAGTCACAGCAGTCACCTGAGTTCACATCAAAGAACTCACACTGGGGAGAAACCATATAAATTCATGGAGTGTGGGAAGACCTTAATCATACCTGTAGCCTTAGGTCCCATCTAAAAATTCACACTGGGATGAAAGCATAGAAATACACAATGTAAACAGAGCTTCAGTAGGAGCAGTTATCTTTGTTCATATCAGTTCATATAAATGCATTCAATGTGGAAAGCCTGATTTAGGCCCATAGCCTTAGTTATCATTGTCACAATGACCTCTATCTACAAAGACAAGGATTGTGGGTCAAAGAGTCACTGTGGGTGCAAAACATATTTAGTGCTTGAGGTAGGTGCTTGGGGCCTCCGAAGTGCGTAGTACAAGCCCCATGAACAAGCCCGCATTAAAAGAAACCTTTGCTTATTCTGAAAGCAATGACCTATTCACTGAGTGCTTCCTTAGACAGCACAACAGCCTGAGGATGTAGGACCCCTCAGTATTACTGTAGCAATAAGCGACCTCCTCAAATCCTCACTTGATTTAGGTTTAATCCTGCTGTTCAAGAGACTAGTTCTCTGTTGAAGAATTAGATTTGTTTTCATTAAGAAAATAATGTAGTTTCATTAGAATACAGTTGTAGCTGTAAAAACGTAAGCATTAGGCATATCCCACTGTTACAATGATTAAAATAAGTCTACTATTTCTAAGTAAAATAACAACTAGAGCCTAAGTTATCATCTCTGCTCTCACTTCATGTTAGCATCTAGAGAAGCTGGGCTATTTCTCCCCTCTCTTTCAAAAGGCAAACCTCACATTCCACAACATCCACCATCCATCTCTCACATACATCTCTGGATCACCTTCTTTATGAGACTTCCAAGCTGTTAACCAATTAAGTTCAAGTGGGTGTAACTTAGTTCACCGCCCACATTTCACACGAGAAGATCCAAGTCAAGGTGGCTTATCTTTATGCTCTGTTTCATCTTCTCTGGGCCTCTTTGGCCTTCCTTCCTTATCTTCGCCACGCAAATCAACTCTGTGTAACAACCTCATGAGAACATTTCATTGCTTTTAAATTTATCTCACACAGGACCTAAGAGACTCCATCTTTGTATGATGACAACTTCCAGTTTCCTCCTATTTCCTCACACTCATCAAAGAACAAAGAATGGGGCAGAAAGTATAGAAGTTCATGGAATGTGGATTGAGCTTCAGTTGGAGAGATAACCTTAATTGTGTGCACTTTTAAAAAGAATTAACTTTATGGGATGCATTTTTTAAAGCTAAAACTTAACACTGCTTTTTAAAAAGTGCTTCAGAGGTACATTAAAAGTGAAAGCTTTTAGAAAAATCGCAGCTGGGGATATAGTTTACATTGCAACCCCTTGTTTTGGTATGAAAGCTACTGATAAGTTAACAAGACATAAGTAGCTCATTCAGTTTTGTGCTAGTTTCCACTGGAAAGAATAGACAAGAAAATGCTGACGTAATATGAAACTGAGAGAAAAGAGAAAAAATGAATGAATGTTGAAGTTCGTTTGTGTTGTATTTAATTCATAAAATTAATTAGCAAAGGGATGCTGAAAACTGAGTTAAACCAAGGAGAATAATACTATACTGTACAATGGAAGCTTTTACAGAATCAGTGTAAAATGAAAAAAGATGGTTCTTCGTAGTGGTCTCTGTGAATGCACACAACTGGGTTATCCTGCCCCTGCGCAGGAACGTCCGGAAGATTCTAGAGCTTAAGAAAAAAGTCAATTAGCTCCCCCCCTGTGGCGTATATTAGCCCGGCCTCCTCCATCTTCCTTTCAGTTCCTCTTTTTCCACCGTTCCTGTAGGATCTAGGAAGAGCAGAGCTATCGACCGTTAAGTACTCAGCTAGCTAGCTAGTTTCTTTTTTACTTATTTTACTTAATTTACTTATTCTATAACTTGTTTGACAGAATCTGTTGTTTAATCCAGTTATTTTTTAGTTCTGTCGCGTTTTTCTCCCCCCCACCAACGGATCCCCCTTTTTCTTTTTATGGCCCCTCAGGCCTTCAAGTAGTGTGCCGTCTGTTCCCGAAAAATCCCTCTTTCAGACGGACACGACAAATGCTTATTTTGTCTGGGAGAATTTCACCTTGACCAGGCTTGTATTGCTTGCAAACTTTTTTCTAAGCAAGCGATCAAGTTAACGCGCCAAAGACTCCGTTCTTTCCTTTACAAAAAGACTTTGTCCCCAACCATGGAAGGCGCCCCCCCCTTGCAGCACTATCTCCTCCTCGTGCTGAAGCTCCTATTCAAACTTCTCCAATGGACCAGCAGTTGCTCACCATTTCTGTGCCGGTTAAGAACAAGGACAATTCCAAACAGTCAAAAGTGAAACCACCTTCTCCTTCTGCTGTGGCTGCAAAAAAGAAAGCCACTGATAAGCCTAAGAAGGTGAAGAAGCCGGCTAAGTTGCCTATTCTGCCCCTTCCTGCTCCCTCAATACTGCTTGAGGAGTCGTCAAGGGAGGCAACGGGACTCTCGGAAGCAGAGGAGCACATTCCCTCAGGCCAGACTGCTCAGGAAAACATGTGCATCCCATCGACTTCGGGCCATTTTGAGGCTGTGCCAGATGCCAGCCGGGCCGTAGCCCAGTCAAGCCCTTGATACTCAGGGCAGGCTGAGACAAAGTCTCCATCGGAGCAGGAGTCACTCCACGAAACTCCTAGGAAGCATACCAGAAAGCGCAAACACACTACTCCATACCAACCTCCGGATAGAGGCGCTGGGTACCATCCACAGGGACCACCGCACTTCAGTCATCCCTTCTACGCTCCATTTCAGCCATTTCCATACCATGGCTACACCTATTCTTTGGGGTTTCCAATGCCCATTGCGCCTCAGGCACCATGGCTTCATACCATGGCTCCGTCTATACCGTGCCAGTCGCAGCCTCAACAAGACTTTTCTGCGCCACAGCCACCATCCCGTAAAATACATTTTCCCACGGTACCTACGGCAACGCCCAAGTGTGCTAAATTTACCGACGCGCGCTCCTCGGTTTGCACTACAACACTCTACTGTGGACCTGATGACCACGATATCCTACCTTTCTCCCCATCCACTCAATCGGATTTGGACATGGTACCAGAAAACACTGTACTGAGGCATTCTCCATCTGTCATCTCTCGGTCTTCAAACCCTTGATACAGGTGCCCAGGGTTCTTCGTCCCAACCATCGCTGGAGGATTTCTCATCCTATGTGCAACTTAACATCCGCATGGCCATAACCCTCCAACTAGACACACAGATCCCTCAGCAAGAACAGGACCTAGTCTTCCACGATATGGAGCAGGACAAGATTTCCCCTCCTAGTCTCAGTCTCATTCCAGCTCTCTTCGAACTGGTAAAATCTTCTTGGGACAAACCTCCCACCTTGGTCCAAGTACCTTGTAAACTCGAGCACCACTATAAGACTCATGGCTTGGACTATGACTTCCTGGCATCCATCACCCAACTCCATCGTCGTTGAGGCCACCCAGTATAAGACTTGCACCCGATCATCGGCTACGCCTACTGATAAAGAAGGAAAGAAATCAGACACTTTCAGCAAGAAGCTGCACTCTTTTGCTGCAATGCTTATAAAAATTGCTAACTACCAAGCTGCCATGGGCGCTTACCAGAAGCACTTGTGGGACAAGATCATTCCAACGCTACAATCATTGCCTGATCCTGCCAAAGCGGAAGCCCTCAACGTCTATGAAGAGGCTAATACCCTTACCAGGCAACAACGATTCTCGGCGAAACACACAGCTAACATCACCTCCAAATCCATGCTGACTGCCATTGCCATTAGACGCCAGGCCTGGCTTCGAACAGCTAACATATTGGAAGACACCAACAATAAAATCGAAGAACTTCCCTTCGATGCTATTGGACTCTTTAATGCAAAAACTGAGGAAACTATGGACAACATCCATAAGATGAGAAAGACAGCGAGGTCTTATATACCATACCAGCCGTATAGGTAACAAAAACAAGCATATAGAAAACCACAGTACCAATCGTCCACTCAGTACCAATCTCCACGGTTCAGTAAGCAACAACAGGACCGTACCTACCAGACACAGCAGTCCGCGACACCGCTGTTTAAACAACGATTCTGCAGCCCCAAGCAGTTCTTTCGTAAGACTCAGCACAGGGTAAGCAATTCTCATAATTCCACCTCTTCTACACGACTCTCTCCATTCCTACATGAATGGAGAAACATCACTACTGATACGCGGGTCCTATCATCCAACATGGTTACAAGATAGAATTTTTCTTTCTTCCCCCATCAAATTCAATCAGGCCTACCCCGTTTTCCACACCACTTCATTTGGAAATTGCATCTCTGCTATCCAAAGGAGTCATAGTCCAAATTCCACCTGACAACATCAATGGTTTTTTCTCCCACTACTTTGCAGTCCATATGAAAGACGGAGGCATTAGACCCATCATGGACCTAAGAGACCTCAACCGGTATATATTCCACAAAAAATCCTGTATGCTCACTCTTGGTTCCATTCTTCCACTCTTGTTGCAGGGAAACTGGTTTGTCACCATCGATTTACAGGATGCGTATTTTCATATATCCATCCACTCATCTCACCAAAACTTCCTCCGGTTCCGGTTCCACCACGAGACTTTCCAGTTCACTGCTTTGCCCTTCGGACTCTCCACGGCTCCCAGGACATTCACAAAATGCATGGTGCCAGTTGTCGCCTACCTACGAACCCAGAAAATAATTTTTTTCCCTTACATCGACGATTGGCTTCTTGTGGCCCAGTCTTATCAAGAAGCTCTCGCAGCCACAAAATTCACTCTCTGCACCCTAAACAAATTAGGCCTAAAGATTAACATTAAAAAGTTCAACTTGATACCTTCCCAGCTAGTCCCCTCAGCATAGCAGCAACTCTGGACTCCATTCGCACAAAGGCATTCTTGCCTCCTCAGCGACTTCGCAAGATCAAAACAGCTGTGAGCAAACTCAAACCGCACGTAACACTTACAGCACACTACATTCAGCACGTTTTAGGACTGATGGCATCCACCGCTGCGGTGGTACTGTACGCAAGGCTAA